GGCGGTGCCCACCCAGCCCCTCCTCATTATATTTTCATTTCTACAGTTGGAACCTTACAATAATATTTCTCACCGTTCCCTTGGAGTTTTTGTCCTTGTGGCATTTACGGTAGTTTAGTCGGGTGTCTCCTTCTCGTCTCAGTGGGGATGGCTTTGACCCTGAAAAATCTTACCCCATGCTGTGGTTTTACATTGCTATCTAAGGTGGCGTAGGATGATTGGCTGCCAGGCACTCGCGTTGTCTGTGTATTTGGGTGGTTCGGTTGTGGTTGGTGGTTGGTGGCTTCACCCATTGCAAGTGGGGCCTACCTTCTGTTTGTGTGCTTCTGTTCGTTCACACTCTCCCTTCTTGTTGGGTCAGTTGGGGATGCCTCTTACCTCTTGTTCGGTCCGTGCCTGTTGCAGGACCTGTAGGGCTGGCTTTGGCTGGCTCTGCTTACTCTTTCCCGGCTTGGTTGGACTTCGGTTTGGCTGGGTTGGACGGTGTGGCTGGTGCCAATGCCTACTGGTGTTGGTGCTGCCTACTTTGTGGCTCCCGGCTGTCGCTGGTGGGCCCCCCTCGGCTATATGGTGTGGAGGGTTAGGGCTCTGTTCATGTGGCCAAGACCAATGGCTGCCTGATGGGGCTAGCTATAGGTTGTCCTGTGGCTGTCAGATGGTTAATCTGTCTCAGGGGCTGGGGGGCTGGATGGGCTCTGTGGGATCTGACGTGTGGGGCTTGGGGAGGGCTGATTGGGGGGGGAGAGGCACCTGCGAGTACTGGTTGGGCCTGCGTCAGGTTGGGCGAGGTCTAATTCAGTGTTTCCAGTCTGGCTTGACCTGTTGGGCTAAGCTGCTGAGTACTGCAAAGCTCTCTGATGGACCGGTTGGCTCATGGCCACCTGTGCAGATAGTGGGTTGTGACCACCTGGTTGGACTTATTTGGGTCTTACACGCTGGATTTTGTGGGGTTTGTTTCATTTCTTTGGTTTGGTTATGGGTTGGACAGGAGGGCACATGGCACTACGGGTAGGAGATAGGCCCCACTGACCTTTTCGGTCTATCGCCACCTCTTTGTATTTCTTTTGCTTATGGATTTTGTTTTTAGGGGGACAGGCAGCAGGTACAGGTCCTCCTCACCATTACACTCTTCGGAGCCACTTGGTAAAGTGGGTTCATAGAGTCGACGGCCAGGCATGCGGGTGCGAGAGGTTGACATGTTGGTTGCCTCCTCCCTGCCATTGTGTCACCTGTAGTATTAGTTTGTGTGTATTTTGTTGGTTTTCTACGGTAGAGGAGATTTTGTTGGACAGTTTTTTGACCGGGTGGTAGTGATTTTATGTTTGTTGGACGAGAAACCAAGTCGGGTTGGTCTCTTGCTCGCCTTCAGCTACGCTTAGTGCTGGTTGGCTTCATACCAGAGGGCCTACTAACTTGGACTGGAGTGGATGCTGGGTTGTTTGATTGTCTTGTAATTAGTCTTCATGCAGGCATGACTCGGGGATGGTAGGTGCAGGGCCGTAGACTTAGTTAGCTTAGGATTAGTGGTATACCGGTTAGCGGTATCCCTGTGCCGGTGGGGGCTCGTCATATGCCAGTGTTGGCGGTACGAGTTTAAATAAAATTAGATTGACTTCTTAGTACTTTTCCTAGTTGTTACTTTAACAAATATAAAACACCTTTATGATCTTTACCTTTATTACAATGTTATCGTCACACCAAGGAAAGCTCTTCAGGGAGAAGAGTTAGAGAAAACTTATGATAGGTGTTCCCGATAGAAGACTGAGGTTTTGTACTATCTGTAACAAAGGTAGAGGCTTAGTGCTATTGTAAGACGAAGAAAGTCGAAGAAGGAGAACAGAAGTATCATTCCCCGTCGCCAAGAACTAACCATCCAAGGAGTGATTGTTATATTACAAAGCATCACCTAGTGCGATGCCAAACCAGATAAGAGGGCCTCCTTCAACCCAGATAGGGAAGGAGATCTCAACAAAGATGATTAAAACCTTAGCTGGGGAGGATTTAGCGATGCCCTAGATGACATTTCAATAGAGCCCTCAAGGGCAGCAAGCCCAATAACATCAGAGAAGGGATCACTAGTCGATAACTCTCCTGTAGGAACCCCACGACCTGAGAGAATGTGGGGATCAGTAGTATCTGTGCCACCAGCCCCGGCCACCCTTGCACCAGGCACGAGCATACTTGGAATAACTGAGAATCAGTTTCTGGCATTTCTGGCAGCAACACGAAACACAGGACAAGGAAATATCCAATGACCGAAAGCAAAAGAACCCGACACATAAAAAGGAGCCGAAGATATGCTACGAATAATTCTGGTACAATGCGAAGGGTATTTTGCCGTCAAGGGATATGGAAAACACAACAATACAATCAAGATTTCCTATGAGGAATCTCTACTCAGAGAACCCACGGGACAATAGATCTTGCCCTTCTAAGGTGGAAGAAAACTGAGGGAATAGATCACGTACGAGGAATTCAAGGCGACACTCTTTGAACAATTTGGGGATCCTAATTCTAAGGAGACAGCAAGACGAAAGGTGGAGAAACTCCACCAAGGAAAACAGACCATTTCGGCATACTGGAACGAATGCCGACTATTCGAATACATGGCAGAGTTTGATGATACTACTCTCTACATCATCCTTCTAAGGAACTGTAGAGAGAGACTCCGAGAAGTATGTGGAATCTCCAACTCGCGCTGTATAACAGCAGAATGATTTGCAAGATAGGCAATCGATAAGGAAAGCAAACTAAACATGGTTTGAAACTATACGGACAATACCATAGCACATCGCATGGCCCAATTATCCAGGAATCTGGATGAAACTTTCAAACGTCAAGCAGCTCGAGTTGACAGCAGAGCATTACCACCAGGAGAACCAATCGAGTTGGACAAATCAAGGACAGGACCTGCTCTGAATCTATTAAATGAAGAATACGCTAGAACAATGAATAGGAAACTCTGCTTGAGGTGCAGAAAAGCAAGGCATCGGATACGAGAATGCAGAAGCCGACCGGATAGCAGATACCAAGAGACCCGGGCTGCTGGAAACAATCATTTCCAAGCTCAAAAAGGAGTAATATTCACGAAATGATGGTAGAGAATTCACTAGCGGAAATCGAAGAGGGTACCCAGTAGATGGTAGTCTCAGAGACCCAAGTTGTGGACCTGGAAAACCTATCAAGTTAGCTAACTACTACACAGCACTACACATAGAAAGGGGAGAGGAAGACGGAGATGAGGTGATGATCAAAATGAGGATACACAATAAAAGGCGTGAAGAAACAACAATATATGCAATGCTGACTTGTGAGCAACCGAATATTTCATCGACAAAGAAATTTGCAACAAATATGGACTCCACACTACAAAAGTGAAGAAAACGAGACAGGTCTATCTAACAGATGGAAAGCCAAGAGCAATGGGTCCTATGACCCATACAGCGACGGTACCTATGGACATTGACAGCTATAGGGAAACAGCAACTTTTCAGGTAACAGATCTCAAGAACCATGAGATAGTCCTAGGGATACCATGACTACAAAAACAGAACTTGATAATCGATTGGAATGAGAACAAGATGACCTTTACCAGGGAACTGTGCACGACACAATGTCTCAATAGTTCACTGGTGGTCTACTCGACACCGATACGAGAAGCGAAAGAAGAAACTTTGCATGCCAAGTTCGCCGAGATGCGACAAGATAAGAGAGTCCAGATACAAAAGCTGAACCAAAGGGCAAAAGTGCCTATCAAGGGTTCCAAAGGGGTAGTAGGACACAACCTATATGCCAACAAAGAAACCAAAATACGTGCCAACAGGCAGGCAATGATAGCAATAGCAATTGCCATCGGACTACCAGAAGGCATCTATGGACAGATAGCACCCTGCAGTGGTCTAGCAGTTAAACATCGACTCATGACCATGGCGGGTGTGATCGACACTGACTATACAGGTGAAATCAAAGTGGTCTTGGCCACACTGGCTTAAGAGGACTACTAAGTCCAGAAAGGTGATCGAATCGCACAGTTGATTATCGAAAAAATCAACAAAGAGGATCTACACGAAGTTGATCAACTGGAAGAAACTACAAGGAGGAACAAGGGATTTGAAAGCACAGACCATAACCAGCCTGATACAACAAAAAGAATCGAGATCAAGGAGATCACAGCACAAGCCTTTGGGTGGTACTATCGAAGAGGAGATACAACAGAAATTCTCAAATAAATATACAAAGACGAAAAAGCAGTCCTAGCGAACATCAATATCAGCATGGAACTAGCAATCATAGACAAGAAATATCAAAGCAAAACAGGATGGGAAGAATTGATTCCAAAGGAATATCATCAATTCACGAAGCTATTCCAAGAAGAAGAAGCTACAGAGCTACCACCCTGAAGACAAGGAATTGACCACTAAATTCAGTGGAACAAAGACGTTATCCTATTGGCATATATGAATTATGGTCTTCGACC